GGAGTTGTGGTCCAAACTTGATCAAATTATACATATGACTCTAAAATATTTATGTGTATCAAAAGTTATGAATTTTGATTGTAAATTGGCCATGATTGACTTTTCCCCCAATACAATTGATTTTTAGGTCAACTGCTCAATTGACTGATCAAAAATGTGATCCAAGGCTTGAAACTTGACATGAGTAATCTTGGGGGCCCATAATGATCCATGAAAGTCATATGGGGAATTTTAAGTTCAAAAATCCTTGTGCAATCTTAAACCCTAAATTTGGTCATTAGTGCTTAAGGAGGTGTCTTGAGTTGATCAACCCTAGTGCAGTCTTGAATTAAGGATATCTTTGTGAGAAAATTCTTGATAAGTGAGAGGGAAAATTTTGGGGTACAACAACATTCATACATACATTCATACTCATCATGCATAGATGAATTTAAAATCCATTACTCATTCGCAATCATTGATGTTTTGTCAGCATATTACCTCTTTGCAAAGTTATGTTACTCTCTCTAATAGAGTTGTCAACTTTAAACAGAAAGTGTACATCCTTTCAATTTCCCCACCGAATCATCCCTCGTGGAAGGGTTTTGCTTTCGCTTTCCTATCCAGCTCATTATCTGGATGGAATTTGATCCCCTTTTGAGTTTATTTCTCATTAGGTGCCGTCTTGGTTGCCCGTCTCACTTCGGTTTATTTCGGGTTTGAATCTATGGTCCCCGACAATATTACTATTCTGATTTCTGTAGGCTTTGAGCTTTAGTTTTAAAATGTGCATATATTTTTCATGCAAATATTTTTTTCTCCTCAATAGGAATGTGTTAGTATTTCCCCAAGAAATCAAGTTTCATTTCCTGCCAGTCTTATTGCAATTCCTTCTTAAACAACAAGCGGCAGTTCTCTTTATTTGAGCAACGTGTTCTTCCCAGTAAGTATGTTAATGCCAGAGAAGATATTTTACTCTAATGAATGGTAGTCTCGTCATTATGGGAGATAGTTCGTTAATGAGATCCTTTTTTCCCATGGATGGTAGTCTCTTTGTTATGGGAGATAGTTCGTTGATGAGATCCTTTATTCCGATGAATGGTAGTCTCATCATTATGGGAGATAGTTCGTTGTTGAGATTGGTTAGGCTTCAATGATAAAGACAGTTCATTGAAATATTCTTACAGCAACATTTTTACCCTTTCTAGGTGAAATATCTTGGTTAAAGAAGAAACTGAAACCAGTTTGTGGCTTATAGTCAGGATCGAGGGAAAGTTTATCTGATTCTCCATCAAATGGTATTTGTTCGAAGAAATTTTGCAAGGGGATTTTGTTGTGAAATTCTTGAAAGTGGTAGTCTTTTTATTTAAGATAGTTTGTATTTTTACCCTTTCCAGGTGAAATATCTTGGTTAAAGAAGAAACTGAGACCAGTTCGTGGCTTATGGTCGGGATCGAGGGGAAGTTTATCTGATTCTCCATCAAACGGTATCTCTTCAAAGAAGTTTCACAAGAGAAGTTTGTTGTGAAATCCTTGCAAATGGTAGTCTCTTTATTTGAGATAGCTTGTATTTTTACCCTTTCCAGGTGAAATATCTTGGCTAAAGAAGAAACTGAGACCAGTTCGTGGCTTATAGTCAGGATCGAGGGGAAGTTTATCTAATTCTCCATCAAATGGTAACTCTTTGAAGAAGTTTCACAAGGGAAGTTTCTTGTGAAATCATTGCAAGTGGTAGTCTCTTTATTTGAGATAGCTTGTATTTTTACACTTCTCATGTAAAATATCTTGGTTAAAGAAGAAACTGAGACCAGTTTGTGGCTTATGGTCAGGATCGAGGGGAAGTTTATCTAATTCTCCATAAAATGGTATCTCTTCGAAGAAGTTTTGCAAGAGAAGTTTTTTGTGAAATCCTTGCAAGTGGTAGTCTCTTTATTTGAGATAGATTGTATTTTTACCCTTCCCAGGTGAAATATCTTGGTTAAAGAAGAAACTGAGACCAGATTGTGGCTCATAGTCAGGATCGAGGGGAAGTTTATCTGATTCTCCATCAAATGGTATCTCTTCCAAGAAGTTTTACAAGGGAAGTTTGTTGTGAAATCCTTGCAAGTGGTAGTCTCTTTATTTGAGATAGCTTGTATTTTTACCATTTCCAGGTGAAATATCTTCATTAAAGAAGAAAATGAGAACAGTTTGTGGCTTATGGTCAGGATCGAGGGGAAGTTTATCTGATTCTCCATCAAATTGTATCTCTTCGAAGAAGTTTCGCAAGATAAGTTTGTTGTGAAATCCTTCAAGTGGTAGTCTCTTTATTTGAGATAACTTGTATTTTTACCCTTTCCAGGTGAAATATCTTGGTTAAAGAAGAAACTGAGACCATTTCGTGGCTTATAGTCAGGATCGAGGGAAAGTTTATCTATTTCTATATCAAATGGTATTTCTTTGAAGAAGTCTCGCAAGATAAGTTTGTTGTGAAATCATTGCAAGTGGTAGTCTCTTTATTTGAGATAGCTTGTATTTTTACTTGTTCTAGGATGAACGCCAGAATTTTGGGAAACTCTTTATTATTCTTTGAGATCTCACCTTTAGTAAAAGTTGCAATTTTCTCCATATCTCTACCTTCAGTGAAAGTTGGTAGTCCACCTTCAGTAAACGTCGGCGTATCTTCTATTTCTTTACCTTCAATAAAAGTCAGTATTGATTCTATGTTTTTTCTACCTTCATCTTTGAGTTGGTATTTCATTGTCATTCGTAGTCGACATTTATCTCTTCCTCCTCATTGGACCTTACTCCGATTGAGTTGAGTTATTCCAGCCATAAGTGCTGATGCCAAATCTTTGATTACCAGGCATAAGTACTGATACCAATCACTAACTTACTAGTCTAGATGTTGATGTTTATCATCGTCTCTGAGCCGGTATTATATTTACCGCTTCTATTTGCGCCCTTCTATTTAGCAGTTGCCGATCCCCTGTGTTGATGTTACTCTCTTTTTGCTATCTCCTCTATGAGTGGATAGTTCACAGTTATCGATTAATCATTGTTATCCTTATTTTGTTGAGTTGATGTTATTTGGTCTCCTCTCAGGATCTTACCCCAATAGAGTTGGGTCTTCTTTTTCCCAACGGAGTCGATTTATCTCCAATGGATTCAAATTTCTATCCCGAGAGTCGTGTTGTTCCCTAGAGATTTATTTTCCTGGTCGACTTCCTTTTGTTAGTCTGTTGATTTCATTTTCATTTCTCCGGTGTGTCTTATTCACATGTATGAAGTTTATATGTTACATCCATAATCATAAACATTGCATGGCATCTTAGGACCAAAAATAGGATTTGTTTTGTATTTAATTAACTTCAATCGCGTCGAAACGAATAGTTTAACCTTTATATCTCCAGATAGAAGACACTTAAATAAGGGAAACTGTTATACCCCAATTTTTGCCCCTAAGATCCCTCATCACACTCTGTACATCTCATGCATATCATTGATCCCATGGTTACGGGATTAGAGGACTTTTGGCATTAGAATTTTTCTCTATGGACCGAGGTCGCTACCTTACTCAAAGCTGATGCAACTGGTAATCTTATCATTCTTAATATAAGATTAGGGTTTTGGATCTCAAGCAGCATAAACATCTTCACTAGCAGGGTTCCTCGAGATACACATTTTTCTTTATCAGAGTTTTCTTTGAGGAACACGTGCTTTAAGATTTAACTTGTGTACTTGAGACTTTATAATATATTTTCTAAGAATGTCATTGAGCTAGGTTTTTTTTCTCTCACCGTCTTAAACCTTCTTCATCTGTATGCATTCAAGGTTCATTGATTTAAGGTTTCTTCTATGATTGTGCCGAAGCATGGATGTTGTTTATTCAACAAATGATTCATCATGCTAAGTTTTGTTCTCAAGGCTACAAAAATGACAATGGTGTGGATTGGGGTTTACCCCTTCGACAAGGTTATAAGATGATCTTCAAATGTTTGATTATTCACCATCGAAGGCTCCTTCTTCTCAATATTTTTGGTTCTCTCCATCACATGAGATGGCTATGGTTTCTTATAATACCGGTCATTCTAGTAATCTAAGAGACCATGAACTCGGGAATGGAAATTCTACAAGCACCATCTTATTTTTCTCATCATCATCCTTTTTATTATAGTTTATTTCTATGAATCATATACCATTCAAGAGGGGTTTCTTTATGAAGTTAGGATCATCAGGCAAGGCTACCATCAGAGGATATCATCCATGGATAACTAGGGTTTCATTTGATATAATTTCATCAAACAATAAGGTATTCATTACTTGAATCATGAGAAATAAGGACATGGCTCTATGCAAGAGGAGAAGATAGTTTAATGTGGGTTCACCTTACAAATTAGGGGTGCGGATAATTGATGCAAAGCTATTCATCTGAACACATGGTTTACTTGTGACATAAGCCTTCTTTAGGACTTCATTCCAATTTACTTGAGATTAAAACTTAAAGTATCTTGTGAAGAATTAGGGTTTACAGATCAATATTGATAAGGATACAAAGATCATTCAAATACATGAAGACACTTTAAGACATGATGAGTCAATTTCGTATCACTTGGTCCATTCAAATGGCAAAATAGTAAAAAAAAAGGACAATTTGCATACCATGATCTACTCAAAACTCAAAAGAAAAGAAGTATGGGGATTTGAAGTTCATTTTGGAAAAAAAACCTACTTGAATTTGTGGAAATTATCATTAAAATCAAAGGATTCCAAACCATGCTTCAAACTTCATTATATCATCATTCCATCCATACCACGTCAAGATCAAAGAGAAAGAATTCAATATGAAAGAAAGAGAACACTTCGATTACTAAGGTTTATCATTGAATCTTCAAAATGTTACATGGCCATCTATATCATGAACCATTACAAAGAGGAATTTCAAGTTCGTGTACCAAATTCCACTTCATTACCATCACAAATTCAATTTACATCCAGAGTTACAAAAGAAATGCATAAAACTTCATCCTAATGTCTAAACTTCATGATTGAACCAATCTCCAATTCCCTTCAAGCCATTCCTTGATTCCATCCTCATTCTCCATAATCTTGGATTTATCGATTATGCTAACTCCAATCCAAACCTGTAAAAACTGAAAAACCGGTTCCAGCATTACAAATGTCTACATGTTCAGTTTAAAAAACTCAGCAATACAAAGAAGAAAAAAGGAATTAAATCAGAAAAATGGAAGAAAGCCAAAACTGAAAAATACGGAGAGAAAACGGAAGGCATCAGTTGAATGTAGTTTACAGTCCAATTAAAAATAATGTTCCAGCTCAGCAAATTGAAAGACTTCTCTAATAAGCTTGGTAACCGAATTTTTTAACAAAATGACAAGAGAAGAAACTAATTGCTTAGCCCTCACCGCAAAACTCTTAACAGTTTTCATTCATCAAAAAGGAATTCTAAATTTTTCTAACAGACTAAACCAATAAAAAACCAAAGAAGAGTTTACTCTATTCAAGCCAGCCTGCATAAAAAAACAACAATTACACATGTCAAATTCAACTCATAGCTGTAGTGGTGAACTAACCCTGTTAAACTAAACTTCTAACGGTTTCACGAATCTTCAATTCTCGTGACTTTATTCAGAAGAGGGTTGGCTTGTAGAAAAAAAAAGAAGAAGAATTAGGAAGACCTACTAACACTCCAAATATCATAGAGTTCCATAACAAACTAGGATAACCTAAATTAAAATGACTTACAAAATCTCTAACTAAATTCAAAGTCCTAACTAACTTTGAGAGAATGGCTAACTGACTCATCCTCACCCTTCATATTCTAACAAATTCCTCTCAATCCAATGGTTCAGATGAATACTCCCTCCAGTATATATATACTCTGCTCCCTCAAAATTTAAAATATTTTTCATTTTTTCCACGATTGATTTTGACAACAAGAATAATAGAAAAATCTCTGATCTTCAACCTTCACTCTCTCTTCCATGCTTCAACCTTCAACACCATAACCATAAATTACCCTTACCTCCTCCCTCATTCTTTAACCTCCTTCACCTCCATAACCGCACCATACATCATCCTCTATCTTCATCATTTTCTCTTATCCGCTTCACTAAGATTTATACTCCTTCATCATCATTGTCTTCAACGACCTGCTTCACGTTTCAAGAAACAACATCATCAATTCAATAATCTCAACAACATCATCAAGCGCATTGCGAAAGCGCAATCGCAGAAATGGAATTGATAAGAAGGAGGAAACGGGTGAAATCGGGCTTACCTGAACCGATTTATCCGGATTTCTCATTAGCTTCATCTTCTTGAAGAAGCATTGGACGCTCTGGACACTCTCCGGAAGGTAAACATTGATATCTCTGTTCTTTCATCATTTTCGTTCTATGCTTTTTTCTCTATGTGCATTCGGTGTGGGATTTTAAAAGAGGTTGCAAGAAAATCACGCTGCCGCTTATGGCACGGTGGAACACTTGACGAGTAACATCGGAAATGGAATCACAGTGAGACCGAGCGGAAGGTGGGTGAAAGTGACGATCCACTGAGTAATTGGAAGCGTGAGGATGGAGATGAGATGAAGGGAGAAGAAAGCACCACGAGTTTTTTTTGAGAAAGAAAGAGGGAGTCGTATTGTTGTGAGAAAATGAAAAGACCCGGTTTTTTAACCCTAACACCAATTTCAACTCTAGTTGTTTATTTCTTTTTTTACATTTTTTTCCAGTTTTAGATAACCAAAAAATGAATTAAAGTTGAATGAAAAATAAACAAATTAATTGGATATGCGGACCACGGTTGTTGAACTGGGCCGCACATCCTCATTGAGCCCACGATGTACCTTTTTTTTTTAAAATCCTGATGTTGCACAAAAATATGGTTATATACTAAATGGCAGATTTGGGCTTAGATACATTTAGACCCATACACTCCCTGATTTCAACTCAGCACCCCCTGATCATTCTAGTTTATTATTTAAATTTAAGACTTTTTTTACATGTTTTGGGACAAAAATATAAAAATCAATAAAATTTTTAGACTTTTTAGTTGATTTTAGGAAATTAATTCATGATATTTCGATTTCTTAAGACTTGTGATTCATATTTGCTTGTTGAGTTGAATCTTATGCAGGTTTATTGTTTGATATCCGGAGGTGTTTGGATTCCAATTGTGATTTATTTTCATACCGATGAAGCTTCGACACCTATTCCGATTATTCGATCTCTGACTATTTGTGTGATGATGCCAGCTCGCGTGAAGTATTTTGGGTTTCTTTGCTTTGGTTGCGCTTTTTGCGGACATTATTGTTTGTTTGGTATTATTCTGCTTCCAAGTTATATTTTCGCATTTATCGCTTTCTAGATATCATGAGAAGTAGGAAATAAAGAGCGTGCGCTCGAAGTCGCTGTTTAAAGACCTGTAGCATGCATTTTGCACTTCATTTGTCATATGTGTCGTGCTTGTGTTTGTTTCCTTGGTTGCTGATCGATGAGTCACTCAACTTAGAAATTGAGATCACGACTTCGCTCTCAGTGCATGCTCCCTATAGGATTTTATCGCTTTCCTTTATTTCTTGTTGATTGATGAGTCAGTCAATTTAGAAATTGAGATCACGACTTCGCTCTCATTGTATGTTCCCCATAGGATAGTTTTGTTAGACTTTCTTTGGCATGCTAACCTAGATAGGATCTCTCTAGGTGTGCTCTCTTGATCTTATTGGCATGCTTGATTGATTTCGTCTTTGTGTGCATGTTTTGAGATGATAGACCCTTGCTATGCTCCTTTAGGATTTCTTGATTCATCTATAGATGATGAGTTGAGATAGACATTAGGACTGTTATCCAAGCATGTCAAATTATGGTAGAGATTTCCCTTCAAAGCTCAACTTTAGGATCAATCATTGTATGGTAACATTAGGTTAGAGATAGATTAGTCTCCCGTAGATGTTTTCTTCCTACGTTTGCATAATTGCATTTAAAACTAAAACTTCTTTTTATTGGCAAATGTATAAAAAATGCTAAGCATACAAAAATTCTTTTCATGGTAAAAAATACTAATCAATCCATTTCTTTTCTCCATTCGGCTTTTCTATTCTAAGAGCATGTTAGTTCCTTTCCGCTATAGGTCGTAAGTATCCAGAGGTCGAGCAGCGGTGGAATGATTGAATTCAACATTATTCATTTAAAAAATACAAACAAACAAAACTTGTGAGTTGAACTACGACTGCTCTGATTCCTTAAAAGGGATACGTAGGCATTGGGGTAGGGCCTGAACGAGCACAAATTTTATTTCCCCTAAATTATTTTCCGTTTTCTTGTCATGAATTCCCTCTTAGCATTTCATAACTCTTAAGCATTAGATTGAACACACCCTTTGATTAGAACAACAAGAATGGATCACGTAGAATACTACAGACGTGTGGGGTGCTAAAACCTTCTCCTCGCGTAATTGACTCCCTTACTCAATCTCTCGGTTGCAAGACCTTAATTTCCCCCTTCAGGTTTTTCTTTGATGATTTTCCTTTCCCTTTTGTGTGGGATAAATAAATACTCAGTGGCGACTTCATTGATTTACCGCTACACTCATGATGCACTTATCCAAGGTATTGTATTCGACTACAAGAGCAATGTTCAAGTTTATCGTTAAAGGTTTGTACGAGCTTGAGGCATGGTAAACAAGGTTGACATCAAGACTTTGGGACATAATAATTCTATCCCTCTGGAGACTTATCTCAAATGGGTGCGAGCTCGCACTCAAAACCTCATGATGCCGTATCCAACCATCCTACCACTGATTATGGAGCCCATTACCGAAGGGGATATTCCTTACACCATTCTCCATCCTGACATGCCTACTGACCTCAAAGAATTGCAGAAATCCTAGGTTTAACTCAAAGGAGAACGATACACCTTTGAAGATCAATTCTATGCAAGCGAGAAGAAAGTGTTGGAGCTCACCAAGCAACTTCACGAGGAGCAAAGCCTGAATGCCTACATCAATGCAAAGAGGAAGCATTTGTGGGAGACTTAAGTCTTAGGTCTTAGGAGTTCTTATCTTGTCGTCTCTTTGAGACCTTTTTGCTTTTCTATTGTAAGCCCAAGGGGAAATTGTAATTCTTGAACTTATTAATGAAATTGTTGTTTCTGTTTCCTTTTTGGCTAGAAAATTTAAATCTTATGAGGTCCTTGAAAACATTGCATTTGCATATGATGCATCATTTCTTAACCAGGTTTTTTGATAGAGGTTTCCTCATCCTTTTACTGTTTATTTCAGTATAAGATGGCTCTAGAGCAAACTGTGATACGGTGGGAGAACTGACTAGTGTTTTGCATTCGTATTCGCACTTGTGCGGTTAGCAAGAGTCGCCACCGACTTTTTATTTTATCCTAAAGGAAAGGTTAAAAAGCACAGCAAAAACCTTTTGAGATATTTCGTGGGTTCGGGGGGTAGATTATGAAAAGGGAAGGTATTAGCACCCTTTTCATCCATGGTTATCCATGGGCTCTTAGGTACTTGCTTAGATTGACTTTGCCTTGGTTTTCAATTGTGTGAAATGGTGCTTTGTAGATCGTTTTGAAAATGTTTTTGAAAAGATGCCTTATGTTAGGCTAACCTTGTAATAATTCTTTACTCGAATGTTTTACAAAAGGTGTTTTATCTTTAAAAAAAAAAAATGTTTCAAGGGTTTGAAAAGTTTGATTTTTGAAAAGTGTTTGTGAAGTGAGTTTTGAAATTAGGCAAGTGTTTTCTTTGCAAATTGACAAGTACTTAAGAGTTTTATCTACCCTAAAGCTTTCTCAAAAGACTTTTGTCGTGTTTTAACTCCTTTTGACAATTTTGTTCTACCATTGAAATTGGTAGGCAATCTTGTATTTAGGAAGCTTGTTCGGGACGGGCGCGGGTCATTGTATGGACCATGAATGCAATGATGCCAAGTGTCTTTGGCAATTTGTTTTGAAGGGACTTGATCATTTTTGATAGGCGACTTTCGAAAGCGTCATCGAGGGGCTTATGATCATTTGATTTTGTTTTGCCAAAGACATTCGACGTGCAAGCATGGCCTATTTGGAAGGCAACATGTGGGATTACCCTAGGGGGTGCAAGTGTGATTGTGTATTGATTACATGCATTTGTCTTGTATTAGGTTATCTAGCGTTTGATTTTATGTACATACAAACCCTAGGTCTAACCATGGTATAATTGAAAAGCTGTAAATTGCGGAATGTAAATCTACGCTATTACAAAATAATGTCCGGGAGTGGGGGTATAAATGTACAAGGGGATGAGACTTATAGTATTTACAACCAAATCGAATGTCGCAATCAAAATATAAATGTCAAATGTATAAATGTAAGATAAAATGTGTGTAGGGCAATATATTGTGTAAGTGCAAATGTATGTGTAAGTGTAAATGTGTACAAATGCGAAATGTGAAATTGAGTCGTATTAGGGTTTTGTCTTAGATATACGTTTTTAAATGAATTTTGATTTTTTGTATGTTTATGTACAAATGAAGGGTTTTGATTAAGTGTTAAGTTTTAATTGGAGAGTATTTTAGTCAAAATGTTTGTGATTTTAAATATTAGAAGAAAAATGTATTGAATTATTATGTATGAAAAATGTTAATTAAAAAGTTTAATTTTAATTATGTATGAGAATGTATAATATGTACAAAAATGATATTAACTAAAAAAAAATTTCTTCAATTTAATCATGTATAAAAAAGAAAAGATAATTATATACAAATGTATTTCAAAAATGTTTTTAAGTTTAATTTGTGTATAAAAAGTATTTAAATTAAGTTAGTGTGTTTAATTAAATTAAGAAATAAATTGTATATGTTTTAGAAACAATGGACTAATTGAGTTAGTATATAAAAAAGAAAATGTTGTTTTTTTATTATAAAAATGGAAAGAGTTAGTATTTTTATCAAGAAGCAAAAAATATAAAATAAATAATAAAAAACAAAGGGTTAGCTGATTAATGAATATTGGATAAAAAATGAAAAGAGATTGATGTTTAATGGGCTTAGGAAGGCAGACACGGGTTAAGCCCAAATCAAAGCCTGAAACGAAATTTAGGGTTAAGCGTTGTTTGTTCAATTGGGAGTGGAATTAGGGTTCGTCAGCAGCGGCGCCGTGTTCTCTTGAATTTCGTCTTCTTCGTTCTAGTCTTCCCTGAGCTTCCTCCGGCCACCAGCGCGCTTCAACGCTCTCTTCCCTCCAAGGCAAGGATTTCGCGTCTCTTGAAACAAGGTTAGTCTTAAAATGCTATATCTTCGTCTTTCTTTTTCTGGATTCGCGTGGTTCG